GTTTTGTTTTAGTTGCTCTTCAGATTGAAGCGGCCAGTTGTATATCGACTATACTGTTGGTGTGATCTCCTTTTTCTCGTTGTGTCATTTGAGTTTATTTGCTGTGTGTAGATTCAAGGATTTTGGTTATCTAGGCACAGCTGTGTGTGACTCCCTCTGGTACACCGGTATGTATTTTCCTAATGTAGAGAGCATTGATTAATTAATAAACTACACACTGAGTCTAGATCCTGACCAAATCCTTTTTTATTGTTGATCAAATGTTTTTCAAAAATGTATTCATACACATTTAGAAAAATACAATGTACAATCACAACCAATACAGCACAAATTACAAAAAATACAGAAAAAACAAACAATAACAACAGACAAGAGGACAACACTATGGAAAAATAAACCCTCCCACCCCCAGATCCGGACCATCCTTGTATTATTGCTCATTCAATCTATTATAGCATGCTAACAAATGGTACTTACTTTATTTTTACAGATCTGCATGGGAGACGATGGCGCGATGCAGAGCGCTGTCTGTGATTGTGCACAGGAGATATACAAATGCAGCCACGCTGCAGCATTGGCAATATTTGCCATGTGGCAGATCAGCTCCACAGATGTTGAGTGCCAGTGGAGGAAGCCTGGCACTTAAAAAGTAGTCCAGCCGGTGTCTCAACTTTACCAACAGCGAGAGGAGACATACAACCCACTGACCAGAGACATCGCCAACTGTCAACTGGGGAGTTGTAAACGAGGCCGAAGGGGTGAAGGCTTTTGTGCAGGCCTATCGGGTGACAGTGTTCGAGTCTGGTCTCTTTGTGAGTGAGTCGGGTGTGTTGGGAGCATCACCCGATGGACTTGTGCAGCCATCTGCCCTGCTGGAGGTGAAGTGTCCACACAGCCAGAGGAACATGACCATCGCGGAGGCAGTCCAGTTACCATCCTTCTGTCTTCGTGAGGAGGGTGGGTCATATATTCTCAAGGAGAATCACCCATACTGGCACCAGGTCCAAGGGCAGCTGCATATCACAGACCGGAGTCTCTGCTACTTTGTTGTGTGGACCACGAAGGAGGCGATCATCATCCCCATCCCCAAAGACCCTGCATGGCATGGAAATCTCCTCCTCCTGGAAAAATTCTACACCCAGCATATGCTCCCTGTGTTGGCCAGTAGAGAGGAGGACATTTCAATAAACATACTCTTAACACCCTCGGACTCTGCGTTGTGTTTCGTATGTGTGATGGGGTGTTATGCAGAGGGGAGGAAAACAGGACACAGCAGATTGGGATTGTGGTGGAGATGCTGAGCAGTTATTTAATTGTTGCATGTAATTATTATTATACTGCGTGCTTCTGAGTTATTCCATCTTTTGCTGTAACATGGATCTGTATGTAACTCTATATTTACTTGTTATCTACCACACTTCCTTCTACATCATACACCATCATTATACATGATGGTGTATATAGGATATATATATTTGTATACATATCTGTAAATTGTATTATTTTATTTAAACGTCTTTTTGATCTCTCAAACTGAGTAAGATTGACAATAAAGTTGACTTTGAAAAATATATATATTCTTTATGAAAATAGTTGACTGTTGTCAAATGAATCCAAATGAAACGTTGGACTGAACTACAACTACGGCTTTAAATCTCTACGGACTGTTTTTCAGTGGGATGGCAAGTTCCTATCTTTAAACATGTATTAGTTTTTTCTCAGAACAGATTTGATTTTCTGAAGTTAATTTAACTTTGCCGACCATGTAAGGTCATCATTAAAAGGTACAATCAATTTGTTTAGGGTTGACTAAAATAATGAAAAACATTCATTTGGATAATTTACTGACAGAATAAGAAACTCAATGATGCTCTACTCACCTGTTCCTTTTTTATAAAGTGAAACAGTTGAAACGATAGATTTTAGTAAACTTAAAAACAACCTTCTCCAAAAGCAATCAAGGAATATACCGAATACTTGTTTTAGAACTTTATTACATATTTTTATATAAATAGTTTGAATGATCCATAATTGACAGAAGCTTGTGTTTACACTGACCTGTTACTCATATATTAATGTCTGTAACTTCAGTAAACCACTACCTCACTCACTCATTTCTTTCATTCATCACGGTTCAGTAAACTAAATGATACATGAACCAGTTTAATCATTATAATAACGTAGGATTGCAACTCTTTGAAACTGTAGGTGGCTCTTAAAAGAGCCGTTGTGCTTGGGTGTGCTGGTCTCAGGTCAGTCTAAGCCCTCTCTCCGCGGATGCGGCGGGCCAGCTGGATGTCCTTGGGCATGATGGTGACCCTCTTTGCTTGGTTCATCTTACTGGGGGGCAGCTACATGGATGTCGGTGCAGTCCACAATCATTGCGCAGTTAAAGGCAGAATTAATTTATTATTGACTCAGAATGAAGCACAACTTAATGTCATACAATACATTGACTTCATTTGTAATTGTGTAAAAAAATATGAGCATTGATTAGCAAGCAGGACCTGCAGGAACAGAGAACGGTGATGGGTGGAGCTGGGAAGAGAGAAGAATAAAGAAAACAGATCAACTTTATTATCAGATATTAAAAATTCAATTTCAAAACAAGTTGCCGCTCCTACAGTTTTCTAGTATGTAAAGATGATTTCACATGACTTATGCAAAATATCACACTCAATACATGTGTGTCTCTGGGGGGTGCATTGTGCCTTTGATGTATATAAATAATATACCATAACCAAATACTATTACGTACAGTGGAAATCAGGTTGCCAGAGCAGGTCAGTGTGCATGTTCCTCAACGTCTCAGCAGTTACAGGTGAGGTAAAGAAAATAAAAGAGAAAAAGGTCAGTAACAACACTTTGAATAATCATCTCTTCTAACAATTTTCTCTCAATAAGCACACAACGACTGTCTTTCCAACAAACAGATTGACTCACTCTCACTGTCATCACAATGAAACACGTCCAGAAGAATGTCATGCCTTTCCATGCCTGCCTTCGACTCTCCCTGAACTGCTTCCTTAGCACCCGGTGGAGGGCGCAGTAGGCTACGCTTCAAATGTTTCACGAAATACTTACCATCATGTTTGGTTACTGTTTAACATTTTGGTTTACTTCATGTAATAAAATAATAACTTCATGGTAAGGCTACTAAAAATGACAAGGCTAAGTAATGTAATGCTAACTAACGTGCTCGCTACTCGTCGCTACTAGCTAGGTAGCTAACTTGACTATGTTCCATGCACAACATGTATATTACCTATGATATTACTTGATATGTCTGATCCAGCGACTCCTGGTCCTTTCATCAGACGGGAAGCGATAGAACGAGCAAGTGGTATGATCACTTTTGTGATTACAACCTGGTACAAAGCACACAGGCATCTTGTAAAAGTGAACCAACCACCTGGAGCATTATCGCCTGTGACATCACTTACGCGACCCAGAATGGGATTTGGGATTTGTAGTCTTTGTAGTCGCGTATTTTTCATAGTCTTATATTTCAACAGTTTTACGACAAAATGTGACTTTTTTGACATGGAAATGATTGTTTAAGATTGACAAACATCATATGTGTAGTTCGTGGCACAATTCAAACGGGATCAAAAGATACGTTTTCTCTCTCCATTGAATTCAATGTATAATTTTTCGCTTCCGGGGTCCCATAGACCGGAAGTAGATGGGCGTGACTTCGCCTCTCCATACTGCCCGGGCCAGGCCCTCCCATTTGACATTCCTGCCCTCCCCCAATAAACACGTTTTTTATTATTTATAAAAAAATATATATATATATATTTTATTTTTTTAATTATAAATAAACTGTGAACTTTTATGCTACGATGTATGTGATGTCAGAACAACAACAAAACATCGCAGGCTACGTCAAATAAATGCATGTGTCTGTGATTTGTGATTCGTCCCCATTTAGACCAATCACAGCGTCACACTCTGCCGCATATTCTGGATTTGTTTATTGTGCATTCTGTAGACTCCCATTTCTGTTTGCATTACAAAATGGACATCAGAAATTGGCTCAAAAGGTCTAAGGATTTATTAAAACGAAATAGCGATGAAAGAACTGCAGCCGATGGTGCTGCTGGCGACCCTGCACCTGCCGTTGCAGCAGCACGCCTTAATGTCACAAGCTTGACCTCGGCAAACCCCGGGGCTGAGTTAGCGATGATCTTGGGGTTAATAAACCCAAGCAGGTGAAGCTGGATCGTTATCCAGGGAGATTGTTTTCAGGAAAGAAGCGCACTTTTGCCGCTGCATGGTACACAACAGACCATGGCTTGAATATTCGTTAAAAGCAGACGCAGCCTTTTGTTTCCCCTGTAGACAGTTTAAAGTGAATACGTCTTCATCTGATGCGGCTTTTACTGTCAAAGGTTTTTGCGACTGGAAACACGCATTACAGACTGATAAAGGACTGCTAAGGCATGCCGCATCAAAAGAACACATTTAATGTGAGAGTTTGTGGAGAGAGAGACAGATACGCGAGGAAACAAATAAGGAAATGAGTACTTTGGTGCAGATCAGCTGGCACGGAGCCGTTATTACGTGTCAGCTGTCGTTTATATTATAGCTTTTTTAGCTGTCAACCTTGCTCGTGATTTACCAGTGTTTGTGCTGCCACGCACACAATGTTTCAAAGTGGTTGCTATGTTGCCCTTTATTTGTGTATGTTTGCGATAAGTGTGCGTCTTTACGCAATGCTGTTGGCCTTGCTGTTTGATATATATTGTGCCGCAGGCCCGCAGCACGTGACGGTTTTGTGTGCCCTCCCATGAAAATCATAGGCCCTCCCTTTAGATTTGTTCTGGCGCCGGGTCTGAACTGTGCGTTCATGTGGTCGTAATTAATGCAGCAGCTTTGGCTTTCATTTCATTTGGGAATATATAGCTACTTGTCCAGCCCGTAGGTCCTGCTCTGAAAGCATACATTGTTCTTTACAGCATGAGCGACAGCCTGGCTGTGATATTATACATCCATGGTGATACATAAACAAACCTTTATTTTGAAAATACACGACAGGAAGTAGTATCCTTAAAACCCGGAACCGCTTTGCAGGGCTGACCTTACTTCAACCAGCATGAGCAGGACCTGAGACACTTGGGTTGTAATTTTGCACATTGCAGACAACATTGTTTAAACACATGCGAAGACATTTTCAGGAACGGAATCGTGTGTTATTTTTTCCTCGTTTGTCTGACGTCTCCCTACGTTTTTGTTTACAAAGGGGCGTATTCGCTTTAGCACACACCCTGTAGTACAATGTCAATAGCACCGGAGGCACCAGCAGGAGTAACATCAGCTGGAGGAGCCGGCGAGAGGTTCCAGAGCTGCTGGAGCTGTCGGCTCCTCTCCGGCGGAGGGCTGTTCCTGTCGGCCGCTTATGTGTTCAGTGGGACCCGGAGGTTGCCAAGAGGTGGAGTTGCCTCTATTGGGATGATAACATTCGCTGCATGTAAGTTATCCAACACTCCTGACTGTTGTTAGAGTAACATTACTTAGATTGATAGATTATTTATTAAAGTAGGAACAAATGTTTTGCCACAGCCACAGCAGCATTTGTTAACAGTAATTGTAAAAACATGATACAATACAAAATAAGAAATACATAAAAAGCCATTTATACACATTCACAGTAGAAAGTACATACATTCAGAAGAGAATCTAAGAATATACATCATATCAAATAATAAGAATGATCTCCAATATACCTTAGTGGACAGAAACATATAAACAGTGCACTATATTTAAATATTTTTAAATGTGTTATGCCTGAAAACACTGCTGCTGTGGAAAGAAATTCCCAATTTGGGATGTATCTTTTATATATTATAATAATAATAGATTTTATTTCAAAGCGCTTTTCCAGGTGCTCAAAGACGCTTTACATGGGTTTGATAAAATGCACAATAATTTTTATATATAAATTATTGTGCACATTAGCTTTTAATTTAAAGTAATATATCCTGATAGGTAGTGTAAGTAGGCTACAATATGTGCAAATTGTTCATGATTATAGGGAAGGAGCAGCAATACAAACTATGAAGCTTGGAGCTCTCTGCCAGCCAGATGTGATGTCAGGATGTTGAGAGGGTGGTTTTACTTGGTTTTCATCTTTAGAAGTTATAAATTCACATCTGTTTTTCTTTCAGGTCTGGCTTCATTGGGATTTGTTATCATCGCTGATCCGGTACCAAAGAAGGACCTGAAGTCTGATTAGAAACAGGATGGATAACTGGCTCAAACATGGACTGCACGTTTGGTGGCAAATATTCATGGGCAATATGAAACAAGCTGAAGAAGCGGCTCTTTGGTCTGTAGTAAAGTTGTGTATAGGGATGTTGTGTATTATTACAGAAACAAGCTTTTCATTGTGTGGATAGATCAAGAATCAATATTGGAAGCTTTTCATTGAATAAAAGATGTAACATATTGTATTTAAATTAAAAAAGAAAATGTGATATTTCAGTAATCATTGGAATGTTATGCTTTAAACGACATTTTAAATAGTTTTTCATTTTTATGCAGAAACACTTAAGTATAAAAGTAAACTTAAGGTGTCATTAGGACTGTGTATTTTTGCAATTTATCACATATCCTTTTACACTTTTTTTTTTTCATTCTTTAAAGCTGCTAGCTCATCTGGTAGACTTTTTCTCCAAATGTTCCTGTGTATATCCAGCTATACTATATAATAAGGTGGAACAAGCCCCAAATATTAAATGTTGAAGCTGTTTTTTTTTAGCTCAGAATAAAGTGTTTTACTAATACTGCACTGTAGACAGCAGGGGAAAGTAGAAAGACATCTGTCTAATATGAGACTTTTATAAGCTGATATTTAACCCTTAGACACATCAGAAGTGTTGAGCTCCATCACAGAACCTGCAAATCTTAACAAGCTGCAGCAAACATACTCAAGACAGCACACACATCGTGGGTCAGTTAGTCTGTTACCTTTTATTAGTGTTATACTGATCGGAGCACAATTGCTCACAAGGAAGAGTTTGATAAGCATGATGCAAAAAAACACCCTAAAGTCATTTTCAGTCGCGTAAAATGATCATGACATTCTGATTGATTTTTTTTTTTTGGTTAAAGAAAAATATGAAAATAGAGTTGACAGTACATTTAGGCACACTATTAACACATACTGTACACATATATGCACAATTTCATTATCATAGATTCATAAATACTGGGGTTAAAAAAAAAAGACAAGCCTTCCGATATGAAGAGATGTGCAGAAAGTTAAAAGTGACACCTCCTCCACCGTGGGAACAAAAGATTCACCTCCTAGTTATAGGCTCCAGTTCATGTCCTTTTACTCAGCCAATCAGAGTCCACCAGGGCTGCTCAGTGCAAGCAAATCAAAGCAGACGACGGGGGTCCATCCAATGGCTGCAGCAGGATGGGGCTCCGTCTGGCCAATGGGAGAACTGGCCCTCCCACAGTTTGCTACGGTAAGTGCTCATTCGCAGTGATTTGATTGGTCACAGGACATGGCTCTCCTGTGAGCCAATAGACAAGAGAGGAGGGGGGTCTGTTCACACTCAACAGAACAGGCTTAATGCATAAAACACCACTTATGAGTTAAAAAGAAGCAGTTTGTAGTTTGAGGCCCAATGAGCTAAACATCGGGCTGCGACAAGGAAAACGCCCTACCACTGTCCAATCCATACCCACAATACAGATGCTGCACGAGTGGACGAGGGATAAGTGTAAAATACCCCCCCACACACACCACACAAAAAAAAAAAATCAGACTTATAAAACAAGTCTGTAAAATAAACTTTTTACTTTTACAACAACGGAATGTAGAGTTGTTGGAACAAGAAGACATTTCTGGGGAAACTTCTCGTGTTTTCTACTATTAAAACGATATGATTGACTTTTTCAGTATACAATGATTCAAAATGCACATGCATTAAAGTAACAAATATTGCACAAAATTAAAGAAATTTTCTCTGAATAAAAGTGAATAGGGATATATTTCCATATATCTATATTGATTTCCTTTGTAACGTTCAGTCGAGTGAAGGAGAGCTACCTCTAGCGTGCATCTCTTGGTCAGTTTATAGTACGTTTAAGGCTGGTTAACGAGCTCACACTGGCACAGTTTCTGACTGAAGAGGGTTGCATCTTCAAAACACACACACATTCACACATAATTCTACATGAGCCAAATACACTACACCAGAGGGTACATTCTTTGTTAGTGCACTTTGACAGCTAGAGCTGAGCCTCCCACAACTGTAACACACTTCATGTGTCCTCACAGCCTCACCTTTGCATTATCTCTCCTCACATGATTAGGATATGAAGCACAGTAATGTTCAGAGTGTTCCAACATCAAACCAGTGCACACACAGGTGTGTGTGCATGAGCTTTGGTCGTCTCAGGTCGTGAAAGTAGCTTTAAAGGGGAGGTGGAGCTAGAAACAAAAAACTCATCCTGTCTCGAGAGAAGCATTGAAGCTGGAAAAAAATGCAGACAATAAAAATCGAAATGGTCTCTTTCGTCACATTTTTTGAAAACAGCGCCTTTTTCAACCCAGTGCTATTGACATATTTGGTTGCTATGAAAAATGGTTTGCAAGTGTGCAGCTTTTGCAGATAAAATGTTTACAGCAAGAGGGTAAGTGTGACCACAGCTGAGAGGCCGGGTCACTGAGATGGTGCGGCGTGTCGGGGCCAAGAGACAGAAGCGGGGAGGTAAGGCAAGGTGTGGGTCTATGCTAACTACTCCTGCATTTAAAAAAGAATACAGTAAGGTCCGCTCTCTGGAGTCTGGACCGGGAGAAAGCAGCATTGACTGGCCCGTGATAAAGCTAAACACAACTAAAAAAGTTTTTTAAAAAAAAGAGGAGGAAAATATCTAAACTAAGACAAAAGACTGCCATGTCCAGTCTTGGTGCAAATTACAGTAATTTGTGTGTGTGTGTGTGTGTGTGTATCACAGGGTGAGAGGAGGGCAGAGTGTGTGTTGTTCTTCCTTCAGTTCTGTGACCACAGAAACACTCAAATGGATAATCGGAGTGTTTTCACTGAAAAGAGTGTGTGAGGGAAGTAGAAGGGCAGAAATCACACACATACCTCAACGTTCACATCCACCCCCCCTCACTCTCACTCTCAGCTCTCAAGTCTGTGTGTGTGTAGTCGGCCCGTGTCCCGTCGCCTCCGTCCTCTCCTGTCACCTCTTGAGGGAGGAAGATTTGAGTTTCTGACTATATTTGTGGATGCGTGGCGAGCGGGAGTGCAGCTTGACAAAGAGCTCGGGGAATTTGTACTGGGGGAACATCGTCTCCAAGAAGCCCTCCAGGAAAACGTAGACTAGCCGGCGGTTCATGGGCTGGTACTGAAACATGTCGAAGACGCGGAGGATGCCCTTCCTCGTGGTGTCTGCTCCGATGATGTGTTTCAGCTCGTCTGAGGGAGAGAGATAAAGGGGTCAGGAGGGTGAACAAGGAGGCATGGTGGAAGGAAACTTTTACATGGGGGTTGATTTTAGCATCAAGCAAAGTACTTGGGTACTTGGGTTGACCAGAGGAGGACTTAGGTTAATTAATTGCCCCTTTAATGTTGCTTTAGTGCATGAATTACGCATGGAACAATTAATAACAGGGACATGAAAGTCAAGGAACACACATTGACCAAAACAGATGATAGGTATTATAGAGACAATAATGCTTCACAACTGTAAAGAATGTAGCTATGACAAGCTTTCAGTACATCCTCTTCCTGTTCTGTAAGGCTCAGATCCAACCCAGTAGATTTATACTTGTTGTCCAGCAGTATGTTCTCAGTTGTACAAGAGACAGGGCGAGTAGTGAACTTGATGAACAGTCCGTAATGGGGCTACATGATGAATAAATTAAGTGTGTGTGTTTCACCTGGCATGATGCCCAGCAGACTAGTCTTGGCAGCTATTCGTGTCCTCTGGCGGATGTTTTTCTCCCGGCGGGGCAGCGTCTCAGCCAAAATGCCGTTGGGCCAGTAAGAGTCCCTATTGGTAGAAAGATCAACTCAGGGTTATCAATAATTCTTCTGACAAATCAGATAATTAAAAAAAAGTGGATAATTTACCTGAACTTCTTGACGTAGTCTGCAACCTGCTCCGGTGAGGTCATGTAGTCCACATGATCCACAATTTTTCTACAGAGACCAAGAAAAAGGATGATTCATGATGTGTGACACCTTTAACCTCCCTCTATTGTTACAAGACTTGTTTGTCTGAAGATCTGGACATGTGTGTACTTGTGTTCAGTCAAGTTGTGTGCAAACATCCTGTGATCTGTGAACTCAAATCCTATGATGCGGTTTGCTCAGGCGGAACTGGTTCTGCGATAAACATGCTGACTGTGCATCTTTGGTCATGAGATGTTTGTGTGAAATACTGCACTTTGGTTTAAATGTATAACAAACCATTACTCTAAGAGTGCCATTTTAGTTTATCGACATCATTTGGTTGCAACAAAAGATCAAACATATGTAAATAAAAAAATGATAACAAGTGTGTAGTTTATGTGCCTATATTTGTATGAAGTTATTTCAGTCTGCATTGTGTATTCTGTGCCTCTGACCTGTTGATGGTGTCTCCATACGTGGCTCTGATGAGCTGCTGCAGCAGGTTCTTTATGTTCCTGCGCAGCCACTGGTTTTTCTCCTTAAGGTCAAACACCTCGTCCATCAGTAGCAGCATTACTCTCAGCGGTATGTTATCATCCACCTGTATATTTCAACATATGAATGGGAATCCAAAGAAATAAAATCACAAGAAAATGAAAGAAATAAACCAAACATGAAGAAGACATGGCCATTGTCCAACTCACATTGTCATCGAGCTGAGCAGAAACTCGACAGTGTTCGGGGTCGATGTCAGTCTTAGGGAGGAGTGGAGGCACCTGGGGAAAAAAAGATTGTTAGATAAATGAATATAAAAAAAGGTGACGAAAACACAAATCTGGTTCAAGGACTGGATTTCTGACGACTTGTACCCTATAACGCTTTCAATCCCTTTAAGCAATGCTGCCAACCCTTTTAAACGGATAAATCAATGAAGATAGAACTGATATTTTACTGTTTTGATTAAGTAAGAGAACTTGCTCTACAGTTTGTGATGGTGTTACCTTGAGTATGGACTGTTTAATGTCCTGCCCGAGTCTCTCTGACATGCGGCCCATGTTATCAGAGACCTTATTCATGCCCTCCGCCAGACTGTCCGGCAGAGACTTCACTGCGTTGGACACGTTTCTCATGGAGCTCCTCAGAGGATTTACAAATGTGTCCACCTGAAAAGCGAATACAAAAAAAAGGAGAAGATGTACTTTAGAACAGTGTTTCTCAAACTTTTTCATACCAAGGACCACTTAACCAATAAAAAAACACTCGCGGACCACCTAACTCCACAAATATCCAAAATCACATCGTTTTTCTAGAACAGATTACAAATCGCCTGAAAATGGTACAAACAATTGGCAACATGTGTGATGAAGGTGTTGCACTGGGCTATATCATACCATCGAAAGTGAAACTTAAGCTCGCTCCATTGCGGAGATATTCCCGCGAGAGTGCGTACAACTTTAATTTATGAATTTATTTTAAATGTGAAATTGTACCAATATACTCACGGACCACTAGGGGGTGCTCACGGACCACCAGTGGTCCATATGACCACACTTTGAGAAGCACTGCTTTAGAACAAACACTCACATAATGTATGTTTTCAAAATTAAATAGGATGAGTATGCACCAAAACATCTGAACTACATACTTTATACATGTGCTGTTATTTGATAGTAAATAAATGACACTAAAACATTTTTGTTTTGTTTGATCAAAATGTAGTGACCTTGCGTGCAAACTCTCCCTTGCCCTTGCTGTAGGCTTTGTTCTCGAGGAAGTCATAGACATAAGCAATCAGAGTTGGACAGGCCTTCACCATCTCTGGGTTCATCAGCAACTGGAACACACACACACATAAAAGTTATTGATGTACACACTTACAAAAATAAAGGTGTTCAATACAGTGTAGCCATATAAGACTGTTACCTGCAGGTAAGAATTTAGGTCTTTTTTTCTCTTCTCCAAGAAGTCTCTGTCCATGTTGTTGAAGGTCTTCTTCCCTGGCAGCTTGAGAATCGACGCCAGGTTCTCAAACTAAAACAGAATATATGAAACTCTTAGGAGACAGTCAAGTTCATGAGATTCTGCTCCATATTAACTTCCTTTTGGATATGAGAAAGAAAACCCTTGATAGACACACACCTGTTCAGTGACCCTCATGTGGAAGTCGTGGAAGTCGGAGTAGCGGCGATAGGTCTTCCAGCAGTCCTCACTGCCGTCATGGCTGCGTCTGACCACCGTGATGGCGTACAGCGCGTAGGTCTTACCGTGGTCGTTGCACACCCCTGCAGCACCCCAGAAGCCGGGGAGACAAGCGTCAGCTACCCAGCCCGGCAATACATCCACAATGGCAATGGAAGATGAGGGGGTAGATGGAAGAAAAACAGGAAGAAGACGGGGAGGAAAGGAAAGTGTGTGCAGGTGTAAAGTGTGCAGAGGGAGGAAGAGAGGGCAAAGGAAAGAATGCAAAGCAGACGGTTTGGATAAAATAGAGGAAAATGTGGCAGAAATAACAGGAAAGGTAAGGGAGGAAGGAAAAAGGAAAAACAGAAAAAAAAGTGATAAAATGGAAGAGATAAAGAAAACTAGAACAGTATGAATCGGAAAAGCAGACATGATGAAAAGGGCTTGGAAGTGAAAAGTTGAAAGAAAAGAATGTGCAGGGAGGGGCTAACATAGGGGGGCACACAGATATCTGATGTACACAACAATTTAACACATTTCCAATATCCATATCACACCTCAAGTGGAAGTTAAGTGTGTATGTGTGTGTGTGTGTGTGTGTGTGTGTGTGTGTGTGTGTGTGTGTGTGTGTGTGTGTGTGTGTGTGTGTGTGTGTGTGTACCTGTGTCAGAGATGAAGGCATGTAGGTGCAAAGTATCATCATGGCAGGAATTGGACAAATCGTCCAAAGACTGAAATCACAAGAAACATGGAATCATTTCACTGCACAGTTTGCTCTCAATAACCCAATACAATGCTTCTTTAATGTGGGGGACGTGTTTCCACCATAGATCAAACTTATCTAAGATTTGACCTATTGGTTTGTGGACTCCAGTTTGGCGTTTTGGAAGTTGCCATCCAGAAATGACACAAGATAGTGAAGCAAAGTACAACCAATCAATGAATAAGACATTTTTAGATGACCAAAATGTTACATTGAACGTTCAGGAACTGAAAACACACTGTAAAAGGTTTTTATAAATTGTACAATGAAAACATGGAGGGCACCCAGACTGGACAACACCGTGATATTGACCTATAAATCACAAGATAGTCACGCTTTGGGATCTATCCTGAAAAATAAACGGCCGGTAATAAATTAGCTGGACGTTTTTTTGCAATTAGTGGAGTAAACCCTGCTGGATATTAGAGTGGATGTTAAAAGGCACTATCGCATTGGTTTCAGTTTTCAGACCCAGAGCTAGCTGCTTGATCTCAACATCAGAATAATTCGAGTCGTAGAACAGGGTATGAAGAAGTCTTACTAGGTTTATGCTTCCTGTGGGAGAGCCATTGAAGGATTCTCCATCCCCGTCATCAGACCCCCGGTAGCTCGGCTCTTTCAACATGTCCAGCTCGGCTAGCATGCGGACGTAGAGAGGACTCTGCTTGAAGGAGGGGTAGTAGCGCTCATCTCGTAGCATCATGTCATACACCTGGAGGTGAAAAACAGGGGCAGAAATATAAGTTATTTTTGTCTGACATGGAAAGCTATGAAATAAGAAAAAAATCTCTCAGTAGAAAATATTTAGTACACTTTTCTGAATTTCATCAAATATCTCTGGTGTGGGGTCGTCTTTCTGGAGCTTCTCCCCTAGTTTGATAACGGACGCTTCATCCACCTGCACCCGGGGCGACGCCTTTAGGAACAAAAAAGTAAAGATACATTTGAAAAGAGTCTCATTAAAATGACTTGACAGGAAACACTGACATCCTAACACGCCTCCCACCTTGTCCGAGAGGTATTGTTCGTAGACGCCCAGTGCAGCGGCCTTCAGCAGCCCCTTGGTGTTGCTGGGCTGCTTCTTGCCATCTTTCTGCCAGTTCTGCATAGCCTCCAGCTGCTGCTGTGCCGTCACCCTGTAGCCCTCCACAGTGAGCCAGAAGAACAGCTCTGCCTGGGCCCCCGCCGCCTGCATGTAGTCTGGAACACACACGAGAGCTGGTCCAAATGGTGTCTACAGCACTTTGGTTACACATTTCATACATAGTTAGTGGGCAAGGGCCTTTCACAAGTAGTATTTCTGTCTGCTTGCGGTGTCTGGTGATCTTGTAACTAAAGATCAATCTACTGTCACACTAAGGCACCGCTTTGGATATAGGTCAGAATATAAAGGTTGTGATACGCTGCCTATTTATACACCCAGATCTTCCTTTTATTTACTTTGGTTACAGCTTTTGACTTTGTTGATCTTTATTTAAATACAACGTTTTTCATATTTAACATTTCTAATCACAGAAACAGCCGTAACATTTAAGCTCTTTCTCAAACTAGATCTGACACAACTTGGCTTGACTCCTAGTTTGCTTACACAAATACACTCACATGCGCACACACGTGCACTCTATCGTGATCTGATCCGTAAAGTAGTGTGACCTTTTCTTTTAAGTCTCCGACAGGTCATGTGGGCTGAATAAAGGAGCGTGACAATGACACAGGTTGGGGTTATATATTCTAAAGGACTGGAATACATTATGGATTATAAAGATGATTAACAGAAATGTTCAGGATTAAGGTCTGGGGATGACGACAGTGACATTTGGCATCAGTGGTTAATGTGATGATGCATTTCCAGACTTACATTACTTGTCACTTAACGCTTTTATCCAAAGCGACTTACATACATTCAGTACTGTGGACAATCCCCACAGGAGCAATTTGGGGTGAAGTGTTTTGCCCAGGGACACAACGACATGCTGACTGCAGTGGGATTCGAACTTGCTACCCCCCTGATTCGAAGTTCAGCGCACTACCCACTGAGCCACAACCTCCCACTTACCCATGAAGAACTGCAGGGCTATGTTGTGGATGAGGATGTGATCCAGAGGGATGACACACAGTTTGCCAAAGTTGGCTGCCAGCTTCAGGGCATCCACCTCCTACACAGAAAATGATAAAGTTAAGTGTGATATAAAAAGCAGAAATGATTAAACTATATTCTCAGTCTAGCCGACTCCAACAGACATTGAGCGATTCAGGTGGGACTCGCAGACAATGTTTTACCAGCACACTAACAATAAGTGATGTATGTTTTTACTGGATTCCTCCAGTGTAAGCACTATATGCTGCAGTCTCTCACCTTGCCAGAGTGTAGTCTCTGGATCCGAGTCTCACACACCTTCTTCACAAACAGAAGACTGTTGATCTGGTTCTTGATCACATTGATGTCTGAAGGACGGAGAAACAAACAGGGAGGAGAAAGAGCAATAGTTCATATAAAAAAGTGAAAACAAGGCATGTCTCCTAAAATGAACAGCCAATGTTGCCCAAAATCTAAATTGTATTCCTTTAATTGCATGTAATATTATCTGTCAAAGCAATTCAGTGCATTCAAGGGCCAAATCTAATGCTGGATTTTAAAGAAAATATTTTTGCTGAAATGAAAAAAAGAAATCAATGATTTTGAGCTAATCCAAAAACATTTTTCAGCCCTAAAGCAACACATTTATTAAGCCATGCTTTATGTTTGTGCTTTTTGTCTTTTTACACACATAGCAAATTACTTTCATGTACTTGTGTGTCTGTATATCAGCAGAAAAACACAGTGCCTACCATCTCCGGCGGTGTCCAGGGAGCGGAGGTACTGCAGCTCCTCCAGCACCTTGTCCTTCACCGCCTCCAGCTCAGAGGGCTTGTCTGTCAGCTTCAGGATGTTCATGAAGGCTTCATAATTACAGCTGGAGTCCCGTATCTGTTCAAAATCACATCCATTCACATAACCATTAAATAAGTTTTCAATTTGCTTTCTGGATTTTTTCTTGGATATTTTTGTGTAGTGTTTATACACACAAAGTGAAAGTTCAAATAACAGCTGAGCGCCAACTCTCACCATCCAGATGACAAACTGATTGATGTAGTCTGGGTCGCTAAGCTGGTTGATCAGAGGAAGTAGAACACCACGGGCCAGCACCTCCTAAAAACAAACATCACAGAGTATTTTCAGGTTCACTCTTTTACATTTACACTTCAAACGTGCCGTGACAGCATAGTATATTCAGCAGCCTGTTGTTGTTTGGCTGCAGGCCAAAGTGGCAGCATTTGGCCTGCAGCGCGATCATGATTCATTAACAATCCAGGTTTTGTGACATATTGTGTGGCTGAATATGTGATTTTGCGCCTCATATTTGCTTCTCGGATCATTGAAGTCATGTGTAATTCGATCCTGTGACAGACCGTGTAAGTGAGAGTGAGAACTAGTGTTTGTTTGTGTGCGCTCACCCTAAGGAAGTATCTCATGTTCTTGTTGTGGAAATCTCCAGGAGGTAGTAACAGATACAGAAGCAACTCACACAAGTCCCTAAGAAAACCTGACACACACACACACACAACAGAGTATGTTCAGTTTTTAAGAGTTACAACATCAAACAGTACATATATATGAAGAATTTGTCATGACAGTGTGAACTTTAAGGGTAGACACGCTACAAAAGTGTGTTAACCTTCTTCATCTTTGTGTGAAGTGCACACCACGTCTCGACAAATCTTCCTTTCCATCTCCACCTCGGCCTCAAAGAAGGAGTCCACCAGCTCCTCCGTTATGTCCCCTGTTCACACATCACTCTTTGTCATTTTTATTATCCAACATGTGAATTATTCTCATCGGATTTAATCCAAACCTTATGGGAGAATTATTCTGCAGCACGATTATAATCAAATCGTATTGTGTCGAATCTCCACACTCAGACTGTTAATCATTGTTAAAAACAAGCTGAACAAACAGCCTAAATGTACCCAAAGAAAGTGTGTGAGTGTGTGTGCTTACTTTGCTTGTCCTCTCTGTCTGCGAGGCGGTCCTGGGCTTTTCTAAAGACACGTAAATGGGTGGCAAAGTCGTCCACCAGGCGAGTAGTGAAGTAAGGCTGCCAGTCCACCTCTTTGGACCTTGGCACATAAATGATACATTTGATTTATCAAGAGCTTTTACAGGTGCTCAAAGACACTTTACAAAGATTTTAAAACACAACAACATTTAACACTAGGACACCAAATTCATCTCATAAATACACAGGGATAATGTAGAAAAAACTATAAAATATTTGTTTTGTATAAAACATTGGATATCAGGAAACTGTATCCATTTCTTACCGTGTAGAGAACTGGACGAGGGCATTCTGCAGCGTCTGTCTGATCTCCAATAGGAAGGACTCATCCTCGCTCAGAGTGTAGTACCAGTACTGGATATAATCTCTCAGAGCAAACTGGATCACCTTATAAAAAAGAGAAACAAATAAATGCAAGACAACCCAATGACCTGGTTCAAGGGGCTGGACAGTAAGCAAAGGGAGTTAGCAGGGTTAATAATAAGGGGTTCCTTTAGCTACAGGCAAATTAGACTTATTAAGATGTTTTAATAACATACAATAAAACTCTATTAGTGTTTTTAGTTATTTCATCCTAATTGTAAATGGTAGAGGCATTCTGTACATTATGTAAGACTTCTGAAACACTAATTTAAGACATCCTTAATGAAATGGTGCACAAGATTTGAGTGTGAGATGGGTAAAGTACAAATATTCATGGTCAGTGCATAACTAAAACCCAGAGGACAGATTACTGGGATATTAGCTCACTAAACTTGGGTAAATCAACTAGTTAGTTGTACTGTACTGGATACAGTAGAGCTAGAGCTGATAGTCCAGCAGCAAGTCCTCAAAAAAGGCTTTAGATTTTGAGATACCCCTACCCGAGGTAGAACAAATGACAACAATGATTTTTCTTATCTTTAGGGTCTCCCATTAATGAAATTGATTGTTGTCAAATTTTATTTTGGGGGAAAAAATGTTTTTTTGGTTGTTCTTTAGAACTACCCCAATCCCTGAAAAAGAGCCAAATTAGACCAGGCCGAATGTGGGAAAGGTGAAAAAAAAAAGCCCATAACTTGAGAATGACAACTCTTTTCCTCTTCAGATTTGCTGAGGTATGAACCAGGTGGCTGCTCTACATCACCAAATAGTCAGACAATTATTTATCTAAAAAAATACTGAATTATAGTCCTGTAAACTTAGCTTTAGATTAGACGGAAATTGTAATTTTTGGTGATAGGAACATAGGACTCAATCACTTTTCTCTCATTTATCAGAAAAACAGAAATCCCTAAAAAATATACCATTACTGAATTGTCTAGGGTGCTATTGAACACTAACCAGTAGTTGTATGGAAATATCTGGTACAGTTCTATTGCAAATGAGATTTCTTTAGACATAGTCCTCATCTCTAGTGTGCATGCAGGCCATGGAATGAGAGAGATATGTCCCCATCAACATCATATGTGAGAAAATTGGAAAATACATGTCTAACTGTCTACCAGCATGTCGTGCACTCACTGGCTGTGGCACAACAAGTACTTTGTACAGAATAGGAAAGACAACAGCATTCACCAAACTCAAGACCCATCTCAGCGAGCTCAAAGATCTGGCCCATTTTGGACTCTCTGCCAGCTTGGAAGAGTCTTTGCCAGTCGCAAGAGAATTGGCGCTTCTGCTATATGGAAAAAAGGAAATTGGACTGATGTGCACAAACTTGGATGAACTGAGGTTCATAATTGCATCAACAACAGACAAATCTGCCGCCAACAGAGGATGCATTTCAGCAACATGAACAAAGAGCAATGTTTCAGACAGCGATATGGTGTCACAGCCCGAACCCAAACCCTTGTTATGGAGTCCTGTTGGTAAGGGGTGGATTGTCGGACCATAGCCATTCAACCAGGGGACACATTGACAGAATGTCAAAATGTGTCCCCTAAGGTTTCTGAGGAACCTGACATTTAACATTATATTCTAGTATCTATATACTTGCCCTCTCACTGAATTATTTGATGAATTGTATACTGTACTTTGAATTAAGGTTCCAGTTTTAATACAACCTGTACTAATTACACCTATGTTTTAGAGGCTTGCAATTTAGAACTAATACACTTTATTGTATTGGGTTACTCTTATTCTGACTATTTAGTGATGTAGTTCAGCCACCTGGTGTTTCCCTCTCCAAATATAATGACCATCAGAGTGAGCATTCTTAACTTATAGGTTATTATGCCACTTATCCCCCATTCGAAATGTGACTGTCTCAGAGAAGAGGTAGGCCTATGTCTAAAGAAATCTCATTTGCAATAGAACTGTACTAGATATTTCCATACAACTACTGGTTAGTGTTCAATAGCACCCTAGACAATTCAGTATAGGTATATTTTTTAAGGATTTCTGTTTTTCTGATAAATGAGAGAAAAGTGATTGAGTCCTATGTTCCTATCACCAAAAAGTACAATTTCGGTCTAAACTAAAGCTAGGTTTACAGGACTATAATTCAGTATTGTTTTAGTTAAATAATTGTCTGACTATTTGGTGATGTAGGACAGCCACCTGGTTCATACCTCAGCAAATCTGAAGAGGAAAAGAGTTGTCATTCACAAGTTATGGGCTTTCTTGTCACCTTTCCCACATTCGGCCTGGTCTAATTTGGCTCTTTTTCAGGGATTGGGGTAGTTCTAAAGAACAACCCAAAAAACATTTTTTCCCCCAAAATAAAATTTGACAACAATCAATTTCATTAATGGGAGACCCTAAAGATAAGAAAAATCATTGTTGTCATTTGTTCTACCTCGGGTAGGGGTATCTCAAAATCTGAGGGCCCTTCCTGCTAGACTACGAGTAGTTACAATCACAAACACATGAACTGTCAGTTAAGGCTGCTACTATATGAGCTGACTGTGTTGATAAAGTAATGAGAAAAGAGACAAAAGATTGTGCCATAAATATCTTTCAGAGAGCATGGCACGGGTTTAAATGATGTCACATTCAGCAGTGCTGAAGATCTCAAGGTTCACATGTTGCAGAAATGATTAGTGTGCATTCCCAGGGAGGAAGGGAGAACAGAAGCAGCACAGTGGAGCAGTCAGTGTCATCTGACCATCACAAACTGCTGTGTCTGCACTTAACTCTGCCGGCCACGCTGCTTTACGCAGGACTGCATGCTACAAGCTGCTTTTCTACTGGAAGTGTTGTAACCAAAGGGCAGGGTGTAAAGAAATACTGTGACCAACGGACAAAAGCCACTGAGCTCATCTTCCCTTTCTGCAGCACTGATGCTCAGCCTTACCATCATTCAGAGGATTTATTTAGAATTATTTTAGGCTCAAAGATTCAATTACCAACATACTAGAGGGAAAATAATACGGTCAACAGTGTTTTACTTTAGCCACATGAGGAGGGAGGTTGTATGACCCTTGAAAAAACGTGTGCTACAAGAAGACAAAACAAATCAATATAAATACAAATGTAAGTCCTTTTGATGGTGAAGATTTCAGAGGTCAAATTAACAAACATAAAACAATCTATCTTGGAAGAACCCGTAATAAGTGACCAATCTCTCAACCTCATACAAATATAAAAGCGGAACTTACAATAGTACAATATTAAGTCCAGAAAGAGAACATGTGCTAGAAAAACATGTTGTCAGTACCCTTTATAGCAGGGGTGTCAAACTCAATTTCATCGCGGGCCACATCAGCATTATGGTCGCACTCAAAGGGCCGGCTGTAACTTTAAGACTATATAAAAATACATATATAAATATTTAATATATAAAATAATGTATTATATGACATGATTGCCTCTGCATTGGATTATTATCGGATAGGGTAATAACTTCATAATTAACTACGTCTGAAAGCAGAAGTCTAGAGCAAATAATGGCAAGTCTCTTCAGTGAGAATGTCACAAAATGATTTAAAAAGAAAAGCCAAATTCTGGAAAAACAAAAAAAGAAGTGACATTTTGAAATAAAAAGTAACTTTAAAAAAAAAAAATGTAATTCTGAGAACAAATGCATATTTTGATGAAATGTCAAATTCTGAGAAAAAAGTCAAATTTGAGATGCATTGTGGGACATGTAGTTCATGGGCAACGTGCTTCTGTAAAGTAGCATGTAACCGTATAATAAACATATTATATTCTTTGCAAGCTCCTGTGGGGCCACAGAAAATGAAGTCGCGGGCCGGATTTGGCCCCCGGGCCTTGAGTTTGACACCCCTGCTTTATAGTGTAATAAAGCTATACATTTTCTTAGTAGCTTTTGTTGGCAAATGCTTCTTTGTTTTAGCTTGACAAAAAGCAGGTACAACCAGCAGACAGATATCCTACTCAAGACAACTCTAATGACACGAAACACAAGTAACCAACTTCCTGTGCAGGGGAGACACTGAGGCTTCAGGGCTAAGGGTATGCATTGTTTGATAGGCATGAGCTGGACCAGCTGGTCAGATGGTGAATAAAGGGGGCCAGTGTCCAAAAGTCTGGAGTGTTTGTCATCCTGCTATCTTCTGTTGGCTTTTCTCATTATTTATTGTCACATTAACATTGGTGTAATTATTTGTATGGCCAATGTGTTTGAACAAAACTGAAAATAATTCTTTAAGGATTTACTGCAGGACTTTTGTAGTGGACTGTTTTAGCTTGAGATAGGGGTCATTGTCAAGTGGCGATTAAATGTATATGAATACATGAGTGTTGGTTGAGCTGTTGAAACTATACAAAGGGCACTTCATATTTAAAAATGACACAGAAACACACCTGTTGTAGTGGTTCATCTATAAAACTGGAGCCAGTTAGTCTCCTGTCTATTTTTATAGGCTTCATCTCCAACTTCATCTCATCCAATGTCTGAAGGAAACAAACAAAGAGACACAATCAATAAAAAAGCTTCTTTCATGAACTTCATGGTGACTGGCAAACAGACTTCATCAACAAAGGAACTTCATTTACATATAATCAATATATGTAGGCAAGGACGAAATGTGTGTGTGCTTAAGCGGGCCCTTACCTTTAGTATACCAATTTGTGTGGGGGCCAAGTAGGAGTGCTCGCACTTTTCCAGGTGTTTCTCTGAGTTGATCTTTCCATAGAGCAGAGTGACCGCAAAGCCCCTGGAAACAGAAGTGAGAATTAGAGAAAAGCGATCTATGGTGGCTAAAGAGAGAGAGAGAGAGAGAGAGAGCATGCTTATAAAGACATGATGGACGGTTTAGTGGTTTCCTGCTTACCCTACAATGAAGCAGAAGATATAAAAGGCCAGGTAGAATATGGCAAAGGGTCCAAAGGTGACGAGGAACAGCACGACTCCAAGACCCCCCCATCCCCAGATGGACACACTGGCCTGAAAGACACACAGAAGGAAATACACAAGCTGAATACTCAGTACTTTATATTATACTTACAACTGTCTTGAGAAAACAGACTCCCTCGGTAAAGCCTGATCAAGCCTTTCACATCTTCAAATGATAACAGACTGAATGACAAATCTTTTCATATGAAGACTAAGACTACACCCTAAATATAGTTTTGTTTTTGTACAATGTGTGTCTGATTTTACCGTGTGCAACTAACAGTACTATATTTTCATTCAAGTATTCAATTATATAATTCCCCACATAAATACATCTTCAATGTGAATCTGTGAATCAGTGAATCAGCAGCTTTCCCATACAGACTAAAACAGATGCACTTTATTGCACTGTAAATGACATCATCCTCAGAGAAAAACACTTTTCTATACCTCAGATGTTGGCACATGAAACGATTATTTAAAAAGATACACACGTTGGTGAATCGTAAGTGAGTGTCAGGCATAGGCTGTGAGTGTGTGTACATAGTAGTGTGTCACATCCTATGGTTTTCCTGTTATTGTCAGTTCAGGAAACCAAGCTCTCTTTTCCAGCTAGCAACTCTGTGTCCAAGTTATTCTGGTATCTACATGTGTTCTGTCCCATATTGTGTCTATGTTAAAGATACAACCATTGCAATTTAAAAAACACCAGATTCTACATTTAATTCCCACATTTTAAAGTCTGTATGGGCCTGAAAAATCCAGTATGAGTCAAGCTACACAGGGTGTGTGTGTGTGTGTGCGTGTGCGTGCGCGTGCATGGTGTTATGTGAAGGATAAGCCTGTCATAGAGCTGCATCAAGTGCAAGCAGGACAAATGAAACCAGGCCATGCTAACGTTAGTACTAAGTACTATAACCAACAGTGTCATGAGTTAATGTAAAAAATACAGTTATCTACACCAGTGGTTCCCAAACTTTTTGTGCCCAAGGCACACCAAAGGACAAGTAAAAATCTCAAGGCACACCTATTGTGCAAAATAGCCCTTATAACACGTGTTATCACTCATATCATGTAAAATATCTGTAAATATGCATAATTATTTACTAATGCCAAATAAAATGTGACAAAGACAACTATATTACTCATGAAATATTTATTAACTAAATATTTCAGAAATTAATTTGAAACTTTATCAAATTAGGCTTCATCAAAGCAGCAACACACTCATTTAAACCAAACAGGTCACAAATAAAAAATGAGGCAAAGGAAACTCAGCAGAAATTCAGCACAGAGAACTCAATGCAAGGAAGCTGCATTGTCCATGGTCCTGAACTACAAATTATAAATGTAACATTTCAGCAATCAGCATTGAAACATGTGCTATTGTAAATATTTTTGCCGACTTACAAATTAGTGAGATACATGTGCCTGTCGGGGCGCCTCAGAATTTTGTAATCCTTGGTGGCACTGAGGAGAGGGCCACTCGCAAGTCCTGTTCAACAGAGAGCCGTGACCTCCTGTTGTTCTTCATGTAAATCAGAGTAGAGAACGCCAACTCCAGAGATGGGGTCGTTACTAAAAAAATGTAATATATTACATTTTTTTAGAACTTTTAAAAAAAAGTAATATATTACACTACTTCGTTACTATCTACATAGAGTAACTCGTTACTTTACTCGCCGAGCACGTACGAACTGCGCGTGAGTGGCAATAACTTTCCTTACCAGCAGGCGGCGGTAGTGTGTATTTGTCATTCAAAACAGGCAACAACCGGAAGACAGAGAAGAAGAACAGACTGCGTGATATAAACAAACAACAAATAGCGTGTGCGGTAGCTTCACCTTAGCATGTGTTCTTTGCAGGTGTTTGTTGAGGTTTGACCACGTGGTGTTTACAGCAGTGGATAACAGCTTCTGGCCTGGGCACAGTTTGCACCTCACCGTCACATTCCTGTCTATTCTTCGGACGAACTCAAAGTAATGGGCAGACCTCCACACCTCGAAAGTTATCGCTGACTCAGCCATGTTTATGCAGCACTGCACTTGGAGATGTGGATGCACAAGTCGCGCAGATTACGTACATATAAACCTACAAAGTACTGATATAGTAAATTAAAACATAATTATTTTTGTGTAGTTGTATATTGCAATAATAACGTATGGTTGTCACAAAATCCCACGGCACACCCGGACTTGCCTCACGGCACACCAGTGTGCCGCGGCACACCGTTTGGGAACCACTGATCTACACAATAGTGGTTCCATGTGAACAGCTCTGACATGGTCACACACTGTATGAAGCTCACACTCTGACCATGGAGTCATCAGATAGACTCGCTGACAGACACCGTGATGAACAGCCGTGATGATCTTCGGCTGCCCTACATTCACACTGGAGTTCCTTAGATAAGCGGCTCCACTGATGGAGCCCGAGATGGACAGTCAGAGCGTCCTCAGGACACTGAGACATTGTTCTCTGAGCCACAGCCAGCGAGGGATAATCAGATGACACACATGCTGCCAACTGGGCCAGCTAGTTTATGATATATAGCGTGATACACACAGGTAGGCTCCTGACAATCAACGCACTTACAAATGACTTTAGTTAACCAGGCTAAGGCAAATGAAATTGTATTATCAGGCTTATTCCAAATACTTAAGAGTAATGTTTCATAGCCCAAATGCTGAGAGTATGGCATTGGGTTGGCTGAACATGGTACAGGTCTGACATTTCTTCATATGAGGGTGCATCATGTTTAAACGATCAGCCATACAAGTATTTCACCTATAAAGGAGGCCTAATGGATTTTCAACGTCTCAAAAAAACAATCATATTTAATACAACAATAACTTTACAAAAAGCCCATTCACAACTAAATACCACTTGCTAAGTCTATTTAATTCATACAGTATACAGATTTATAACCCCTGTCACTACTAGTTGCTTGCTTCACTCTAACATTTGTAGTTGTTGTGCTATCTTTGCTGGCATACTACGTCATCGAGTGCCGCCGAAGTACTGTTCCAATGTCCAGCACACTTGGAATTCTACCGAGCCCGGCGTACTTCGTGGCGAGAAATTTCGAGGCTGCACATGTGTAGACTCCGGTCTTAAAATCCCCACAATGCTTTGCGCACGGACCAATTTCCCCAAATCTGTGGCGGAAAATGTAAGGCGGGCCTCTCATGTGACGCACACTTGCTCGCCTGTTCCACTCTTCGTTTTCCGAATGCCAGGAAGTATTCTTGCCTCGCTTCTGAAGCAAGTGACTCGGAAGACATGTGCTACCAAGCAGGCGTCCTCGACATTGAGAAACACCCAGTGTGTACATCTCTATTCAAAATGGCCACTATTGTTGGCGGTGCTTCAGGTTGTTTCTAGAGCTTTATTCTGTAGGTTACACTGACACAGGATCTCAGTCTCATCAGGCTTTATAGAGCTGGTACCATTTATTTAAAAACGGAATTGACTGGTTCCAGGTCAGATCTTGCAGATTAGCTTGTGACAACCCTGGTCAACACCCCAGCTGATTACACACTGGATATATTACAACATGATGCTGATGGCTGTCCGTGATAAACCTTCAACCCTGACATATTACTCAGTGCAAACCAAAGGAATAATATACAGGCTGTCAGCGTGTGCCATGTGGGCTGAGACAAGACAGCACAACTGGTTTTACACATGCCTGTCAATATTATAAGTAGAACAACAGTCTCTCTGAACATGCCTTAGTTGAAATTAGGGATGCACGATATTGGTTTTTTGAAACCGATACCGATAACTTCCTGCTTCTCAAGACCGATACTGATAATAAAAAAATGTTTACGCCACTAATTATTTTAACGCGATTAACGCATGTGTATTTTTTGTCCTCGGCCGCCCCGTAGTTTCAGAGCGCATCGAGTTTAAAATACCATCTACAAGCTGATGCTGACAGTCCCGCTCCTGTCGCCCGCTTGTGGCAGACCACACTTCCACGCTCACCGGCAGGCACCGACTGGCTGTTGGGAGGACCGGGAGGGTGTGTGTATGTGTGGCCCGAGCGAGCGAGAGAGAGACCTTACGTGCATTGTTGTTGTTAGCATCTGGTGCTAGCTAGCTGCGCTAACGGATATACGGAGCTGTTTAAATGAAAACAGGAGCGACATTTCGCCACAACTGCGCCGAGCACTTGACTTTATGCAGGAAGCCAGACAGTGGGACATTGTACGAAAAGTCAGCACACGCAGCACGGATAGTGCGCAACATGATTGCAGCGTCCAGGCAGCTCCGGTTCGAGCATATGCCTTGAGTTGCACATAGCTCCAACGCCCATACCACTGTCCTGGCTTCACGAGTTAGGGAGCGCTGGATTTGTGAACTCCCCTCTTCCTAAACCACTAATACCACAGTACTGGCAAAACGGGAGGAGCCGAGTGAAAAACAAGCGCCCCTCATCCCAATCCACCCACACCGCAGTATTTTTTTCTTTTTTTACCCAAAAATATATTGTATATTATCGGGGCTATTAATACTGGTATCGGGTTTATCGGGATGACGTCATAATTCCTAATATCGGACCGATAATTATCGGACCGATAATTATCGGGCCGATAATTATCGTGCATCCCTAGTTGAAATGTATGATGCACAGCAGACAGTCAACTCACTCATGAACCTGGTTATGGGGTAAATCGGGTTAGGGCAGGAAATGTTTGATCATTTATCTCCATGTGCTGCAATTACTCTCAAATCCTTTATTACATTTGACTGGTCATTAATCAGTTATTATCCTTACCGTCTGCCCAATCCTCGACTCAGGCTGACATCTTATAGTTGTTTTAGTTATGTAAGACATTTCAAAGTCTTTCTTCTTTGTCGAACAACTTGGACTGACGGCATAGTAAGGGAGGTGACTGTAGAAACTAGCATATTCTTTTCAATTTGAGTCCTAAAAATGTAGTATTTTCGATAAAAGGAAGCACATCTAAGGTTTGATTTGATCGCTCTTTGATGTTTTTACAGCTTTCACTATCTGATGCACTTGCACCCTAACAACCATGTTT